CTTTTCTAGGCTAGTAGGGGCTGGTCTTTTCTTCTTATTCTGCTCTATACTAGAGCTTCGCTCTATATCCTGCTGGATTCGAGCTTCTAGATCGCTGCCTTCGAGTTCTACTCGGAGTTGCTGTATTGTGCCTTTGATTTAAGTAAGGTTTACTTATGCGATCGCAGGCAAGACTGCACTATGTGGCCCCATCTAACGATCGAAAGGTGCACTACTTCGTGAGCACTTCTTGATTACCATAATAGTCAATCCGCACTTGTTGAGCGCGGCCCCACGTGCCACAGCCGCGATATAGCACACACGTATAGATGTATATATGTGCACTGATATGCAATGCAGAGTTTTCTGCCTGCGAGCTGACTACATCTTAGTTCTTTACTACTGTCAGCCTTGAGCTCGCGCAAAAAGCGTATAGTACCTAGGCTCATATCCCAACAGCGCATCTTATTTGTAGCTTATGCAGCTGCTTCTTAAGTTTCACCGCGCCATCCCGAACCCTTTTTTTCGCTACCAACCTACTCAACCATATATCAGACATGATACAGGACTACCAACAGCATGAAGGAAGATATTTTGCGCAGGCAAATCCGTACGGTGGTGGTGACGGCTATGGCTCCGCCAACCCATATGGCAGAAGTGTGAGCAGTGGCTTTCCTAACATGACATCACGAGACTAATGCGACAGTATAGTACGATCAGCTGCAGCAACAGCTTAATCCTCTAGCGCCCCTCCAAAGCCATAGCGAATCGAATTACTCGCAGCCAGCGCAATACTCGCAAGCTGGTGCCTTAAGCCCCTCCAACACGAATGCGCCAACTGTCCCTGATACATACGTGCCCATGAGCAACTTGCCTACGCACGGCAACACTATAGAGGCGCCTCGAGCCCAGCCTCTAAGCCGAGATGACTTCTTTGCGCGCATTAGAGGCGCACAGGTGCGAATCGGCCAGCTAACCTCGGATATCCAAGCTATTGCCAGCATCCACCAGCGCATGCTTTCCTCGCCTGACAACCACTCTAGTGCTGAACTAGAGGAAATTGTAACCAACACGCAGATCAGAAACACACAAATCAAAGACGAGATCAATTCTCTAGAGATGGATGCTGTGCGCGATCCTGATAGTAAAATAAAAAGGTCTCAAGTTGAGGCGCTCAAGAGGACGTTCAAGAGCCAGCTCGAGGATTTCCAGAAGGAGGAGGCCGATTATTCTAAGAGATACCGCGAAGCTATTGGAAGGCAATACCGCATTATTAACCTAGACGCCACAGATGCCGAGGTTAAAGAGATGGCTAATTCCAACTTAGGTAACGAGGGCATCTTTACCTAGGCTATAAGTGTGAATTGAGAGTTAGATATTAAGGAAACCGTCTCTAACACGCCCTTAACTCAAATTCAACCGCATTGGTCAGGCGGCCAGTATTCTCGCCGCGGTACATGCGCGCCATAACGACATTCAGCGCATCGAAAAGACCATGAGCGAGCTTGCTTTGCTGTTTACCCAGCTCAACGAGCAAGTCACCTACCAGGATCCGTTAATCATAGAAGCAGAAGTCCAGACTGTGCAAGTCGAGGACAATAGCAACGAAGCAAACCAACAGCTAGGCAAGGCCATCAAGTCGGCAAAGCGGGCTAGAAGACGTAAATGGTGCATCTTATTAACTATTATCACAATTCTATACGTGATTGCTCTGATACTCGGATTGTACTTTAAGCTGAAACCTAAATAGACGAATGCAGCTAAGAACAATGTGAGTTCATAGCTGCTATATATACAAAACACAGCTACGACAAGAGGAAAGAAGAAAATAGGGTGCTCGTATTCCGAGAGAAGAAGGGCAGTTCATTTCTTATCCTTTGAGCAACAAGAATAGCTATCAGCGTGCGCAGCATGAAGATGCAAGTAGACGGCGCGTGATACTACACCCCCAAGCCACATTGGGTTTCCATCTACAGACCTAACAGCACCCACTGGCTAACTAGGAAGCTAGTCAATGCAGATTTTTCACTAGGCGGTAGGCTCTAAAATTAGCAAAAGCGTATAGCATGACTATATAGCGGCCATCCTAGAATAGCGTGCCCGTGAATCATTCGGCTACTGCCTGGCCCCAGACCATAGCAGAAGCGTGAAAATCTGTTTACTCGCTATACTCTTCGTGAAAATTAAGACGTTATGCTTCTAGTTTCCAATGGATTTGTGTTTAGATAGACACGTTAGCAACTTGGGGCTATTCGTCGGCAAGTGCTGGCAAAACGAGGCTTGCAGCGTCTGCTTCGCTAAACGACTTCATTAGGGGGCTAGATAGAGACACCGTACGAGTTGATTTGAGCGCCTACTGCAGATTGGAGGGCAGTTTCGCCTAGCACTGAGAAAACTACATAGCTGTAATTAGCCAAAAGAAGAACAGTGAAAATACGAACAAAGGGGTAACAGCAATAGGCAATAGGAAGTCATATTTGTGTTTAGAATTATCATTTGAGGTCAACGAAAGTATTGAAGAATGTTGTCAAAGTTGCCGATATCGCAATTCTTTCGCCACAGTATTGTTTTCTATCTTACTTGAAACCAAGTAAGAATTCGTAACTCGTACATAGATTGGACTCAGACGGTGGGAAAATCCGTATATACATACACTCCCTCCAGCGGCGCACAGGCTGGTGACTAGCAAAGCGCTTTGCATCGTTCGTCGACTTTCGGAAGTGACGAGACTCCAGTACAAGGCAAACATGCAAACAGGATCTGTAATCGTTAGCAGAGGAATTCCATACAAGTTTACGTTGTAAAATGAGGGCTTATCTTCAAGAAGAAGCAAATGGTCATATTAAGACCTACTTTAGATAAAAACTCAGATCTCACTTTGCCATTTAATACACTCGTCTTGTATGCAATTGTATCCCAAGTCACTAGAGCCAAAGCGTTGAGGGCAGAGACGATTAGGAGATAGCCGGCCATGTCTAGGTTTTCTCGGAAGCGGAATTGGCGCACGTAGATACGCATGGCGATAAAGGCGTAGACTAAGATCAGTAGGATCCATTCTAAGACCTTGTTTCAGTCAGCCATGTCTCGTAACCACCAAACTTGTCGGTAGCCTACCATACAATATGCCCCGCTGATGTATGTCATTTTGAGTGTTAAAAGTCATAGGTTATGTATGTGCATGAGCGTATGATATGGGTGAAGAACAGACCCAAGTTAGAGTGATAGGCAAGACAGCTCTATAGGTGATGGATGGCGGGCACACAGTACTTGCAGAACACAGGCGCTTGTTACATACAGCCTAGTATCACTTCATCAACGTTTCCTGCTGAGAAAGGGCCCTTTCAAGCCTTCTGGGTTGTGACTCACACGTGGTCCTTAGATTTGAGGGTGCGTTACGATGCTGCATGTATGTAGTTATACAGAGATTGTATTCGACAGAGAGCTACAGTAGATTCTAGACTGTAGAGCTATATATGTACAATGTTCGTTGCCTAAGCAACAATCAGGCCGGGCAGGTGGGTAAGCGAGGTCATAGACGAAAAGAAGAGACGAAGGGCGTTCAACCCATTGCAATGGATGTTAAAGGCGAACTAGCCACAGAATTTAACAGTAGTTCTATTAAAGTCCAGACTACTTGCCTGACTATTCTGAACAGCCCGAGGATAAATACATGCTGTTCAATCAGTAATCCGCGTGCATAAATTGAAGCCCCTCCAAAAATAGATTTGGCAATAGAGCAGACCTCGGTACGTCAGGTTTTGGAATATATAATGCAGGTTATAACACATTCCTAACTACTCAAGTCTGCAGCTTAGAATCAAACTTTCACTTGACCTCAATATGCGGTGTCAAAAATGGTGTTTTTCAAGCGCATTATTGGGTAATGTCTTCGCCCAATCAACAATAATGATAGATCTTCAGCACAATCGGGTTGAGCAAGCTGATTGCCCGCGAAAGGTAGGCAAAACAATAGGCGCTCATGATCAAAGTTAACGGCTAGGCGAAGTTACACTTTTGCTCAAAGACAGCATGGAGTGAATGTGCTGCACCAATCATATCATCCGACCGCTGCGTAGCCGCCGACAGGCTTAATGACGTCGCGTCTATTGCAATCGACCTAGGCTTGTGCTGCCAATTCTTTAGGTATTTTTGCTCTTGTATCGTTTCTATAGTTAAGTCTCTAATCTTATAGTGATGATCAATGTAATACGGTATATAAAGATGGGGGAGAAGAAGGGCAATGGTATCCTGGCCTAAAGGAAGTATCTAGTACTTTCAAAGAGCAGGTAGGCAGTTACATGTGCAGAAATGGAACTACTTCATCAATCTGCCCAGGGGCAGGTGCCGGAAACCTAGTTGCTTCTAACAATGCGGCTACTCCCACTGCTAATTAGTAGATTGTCTAAAGTGGAACAGCCTGTCTACAAGCATAGCACTGCTAAGTTTCTTACCTAACTACTAGTTAATTAGTATTTGAACATGACCATCGTCTTAATGCTTGTCCGATACTGGTGCATATTGTAATTACACAAACACATTAATTATACTAGCAGCAAACCCCTCCCGTCATTGATTGTGATCTGTATGCTATCCCATGTCTCGACACGCCAAGAGCAATATCCTTGCCCTAAGATGTGTCTCTAGGTGCAGCGATACACTATGTCGAGAGATAGGTTCACGCTTCACAAATCGAGAAACGCTTCCTATCGCATTTGAAAAGGTGTTAAAAAAGGTTCGAGATTCTTCAGTGACCATTTATTAAGTCGAATCATCTCCGATAGGGATTGCTGCGGTGTCGGCCTTGGTTGTTGTTGCATTCTTCGGTGCATGAGGAAAACTGTTTGTTGAATTTATTCATGATTACCTGCGTCGTCTCATCTACTTAGATAATTAGATAGCTAACGTCCATCCCTGCGTGCCGGGACGCACGGTGTAACGGGACACTTTCTCTTCCGGTCCCTCGGACTATCCCATAACATGCTTATATGTAGACAAGCGCGATGCGCATCTACTCTAGAGCTCTTACTCTCCTAGCATGTTAGCCTCCGATGCTAAAAAGCGCGTTATTAACAGTGCTATCGCTTGTTCTATTAATGCTATCTTCTAACTCTCCTCTAATACCCCCTGCTCCTCCGCGATAGTACGCTTCTACAAACAGCTTAGTGGTTTAGAAAGGAAGCTAGAATAGCAAAGATTAAGAATGCAGTCCTAAAAAGTCAGTTTAAAGCAATAAGTACACATCCTAACAGTTTCTCCGCGTAGACGGCAAGATCATTAAAACGCGTCGTGAAGGACGTGCGCTGTTAGCAGCACTTGGCATACAGATAGCCTGTAGTAGCGTGCTCAGATATCGCCGTACGCTATTATAACAGATTTGACGCTATACCTATAGTAGTTAACTACTAAGAATAACTGTGGCGCATGCCCGCAACATGTGCTGTTGCAACGTGACCTTAGCCGCCGTCGCCGTTTATTCTGCCTAAAGACGCCGATGCTGCCGCTCTACTAAGAAATAATAAAGCAGCGTTATCTTCGTATCGGCCCTCCTCCAGCCTATAGTTAATTAGAGTTTTCTTTCTAGTCTGTGATACTCTGTTGCTGACGTGTATCCCCTCTATGACGGATATTAGATGAGTCAGCATTGAACACAATTACGTATACCCTGGTAATAGCTCCCTAGCGTAGCGCCTTATTATTCACCTCAGACGATACTCCGTATAGGCCCCTAAAATAGTTTGCCTATAGACAGCTGGCTCACCGTAGTACTTGTGGCGGGCTGAGGCTCTCTTAGTGAGACACTCGGTGAGTCCTTGGTGGACGCTCTATCCGAAAGACGCTGAGACTAAAGTGAGAGCTTTTTTCTCTAGTTTGTACTTGAATATGAGCCCTCGTATCGATAGTTGTATAGCTACCAATCGGATACAACTCTACACTCTCATGCAGTTGCAGCTTCCGGTTTCTGTAAGCAGGCGACCTCTGATCCCACGCTAAGCCTCTGTCGCTTAGTGGCAATCTAGCCTAAATTGTATTAGTTTCTGTCAGCAATGCGTCTTCTTCAAAGTCTCAGACCAATCAATATATCATGTTCTCATAACTTAACTATTTTTGGACAAGCGCGCCCTAGACGGGTCCGTGTCCTGCGTGGGATGATAGTTCGGCAATGTGCGCAAAGCGGAAGCTGCAAGTGCATGAGAGTGTAACCTGCCTACGTACCTACTCTCTAAGCGCAGCCCCTCACAGACGTCTTTCAATATAAGACTTATCTACCTTGGTGCGGACTAGAACGGAACAGTCAACCCCACACTGTTTATAGTAACGCCTCCGGCGAGAGGTATCATATTCTAAGCTCGGTTATATACTTTTCGACTACGAATATACGTCTGACTCAGCGTGGATATGCGTTCTGCCCCTGATTGATTGCGTGGCACTGTGCTCGAAAGTCTGCTTAGTAGTTAGAGCAGGAATAGACTTGAAGAATGCGAGCGGAGATATAAACATGTGTATGCCATTAGTTAACATGAATAACTTTCTAGTTTGCAAGTACTTAAGAATTGTCAATTCTATTATTATCTTACTAAGAGATAAATTTCCTTTATTATCTACAATATGAAGATCCTTTCAATCGCAATTATATCTAAACTTGCTGTCATCGTGACTGCTGCAGATTGTGGCGTTACAGCCTTCGGTCAAAGTGGTTGCGACGAAACCGGCAGTCAACCTTGGTTATGGAGGGTAAGTATGGTATCGAGTTCATATACTCATGTTCCGCAATACCATGACGTTCTAGTCTAGTCGTGCTCTATCTTGCTAATTGCTTTTAAAGTGTACTCCCACTACTAATGATCTTGCAATGAAATATGGGCCACCAAACAACAACTGCGCATTCCTTTCAGGGCATCCCCAGGATAAATACTACTGCGTGCGTATCTCATTTCAATAGTGTTATTACGCTTCTTGTAAATGCTAACAGAATTCATCAAGTGCGCAAAATCTCGATAGACTCTGTATGATAGGCTAGAGCCCTTTGCTCTCTTATCCTCTGTAACCTCGATTCCTTTTTGTACAGCCCGATTGCCGCTTAGGTAGCTAGCATATCCGCCTGCCCCTATACATAGCTACGTAGCCTAGATCTTAGCTCTCTATCGAATATAATTGTAAGGCCTTGCGTTTACTATATATACTGTCCTGTGCAGAGCATCAGCAGAACGCTGATTACTCGTACCTTTTGGTTGTAGTTAGTGCAGTAACACATTGCTAAATTTCTTACAATAACCTCCTTCTCTAATAATTCCTATTAGTTATAGCTCTTCGAGCCTAGTGTGAGAGGTTTGGCAGGTAGGAGCAAGAATATTAATAGTGTTCTGACGAATCCTTGGAGTGTTCTTTCTAAAGATTGGATGGGAGCTTTATATATTATGCAGGTCCTCCGCCTTACTAACCTAAGGGTGTGACAAGTAACAAGCAGGATTCTCTCCTTGTCGAAGGGCCGCATGACGAAGACCTAGTGAGCGCCCTGACAGAAGGAAACAATCTTTGGTGCGGGCACGTGACGTACTATCCACGCCAAGACGGGCTATTAGTGACAGCCGGACCTTATGTGATGGAAGGCCATTAGAGGAGAAGGAACTATTAGTGATGGCGACGAACATTCTAATGGAACGATAGAATTAATACATGTAAGTAATTGTGGGTGCGAAAAGTATTGTGTATTGGTGTATGTCGTGATAGGAGCAAGTTTAAATACAGCGTTATTAGTCAGTGGGCAACCACGTGACTATACATAGTACTTCTGGGCTTACAATACATATAAAGGACGGACGGATTTTATTATTACACTCGTGGTTGTAACGATGTTACAGCCTCGCCAAGTATCGAACTAATCCTAGAGCCGGATCGGAGGTAGTATCTGCCGCCCCCTTCATCAGCTATTTGCTCCTTAGTCAGATCCGATTCGGATCCGACTAGGATAGGTATATATTGAGACACTTCCTGTAGCTAGCTCTGTAGACTTTTGATATCCTTTCGTACAAGGCCTATAGGTGTCTATTCGAATCAAGGCTCGTTTGATGTCTCACGCACTCCCATATGCCTCTGAGTGACACTACTGCCGATACTGATCCGAGTAGTCTTGCCTGCGCCGTTACATCCCGTTACACCGTGCGTCCCNGCACGTAGGGATGGACGTTAGCGGCGCTACTCTCGTATCGGCCCTCCTCCGGCCTGTAGTTAATTAGAGTTTATTTATTTATTTATTGAGTCCTACTCGGTTTCAGCCGCGTTTTCTCCGCAGCTATGCCCGGCATGGCTGGCGTAGCCAACAGCCGACGCCGCGCAGACGTTAATCCGCGCCGCCCCACGTCACTCCCTTATGGGAGCCAGCTGTTCCTAGAGGCCTGCCGTTTCCCCTCCACCACTATCTACAATCTGGCTGCCACCTCATCTAGATAATGGCTCTACTAATAGTATGCTGTGTTTATAGGCTCGTAGAGGCGTGCTGCCTCGTGTTTTGCGGCCGCGATACCTACAGTCTCCCCCCAGCGCTTGGCTGTCGCCTACGCGTCTTCGATCCCAACGTGCCCAAGGATCTGCGCTTGTTCTACAAACTGGATGGCTTTGGTGGCTAGCTGTGGCTTACTCAGGATGGCCCGGAGGTTGTTTCGTCCACGGAGGTTGCCGAATACCTGGTTCCGGAGGTCCTTGAGCATCCTGCAGTGGAGCAGGATGTGGGCAACAGTCTGTCGTCTCTCCCCGCATTAGCAGCGAGAGCTGGTAACCCCTGGCACTCTTTGGGTGAAGAGAAAGTCGCGCAGGCCTATCTTCTCGGTACGCAGCTGCACTAGCAGCGCGCTCTGTCGTTTAGTAAGGCCTTCGTGGATCTGAAGTACTTTGTTGGTGGGCAATGGTGTGTGTCTATAGGTTGCTCGGCCCTTGGCCTCTGCTCGCCATTTGGCAGCCCATGCTCGCTCTGTTTGAGTCCTGCACCAGCGNCTGACGGTTGATCTGATTGGATAGCTTAGGGAGCTATCGCCAGGGTATACGTAGTTGTGTTTAATGCTGACTCATCTAATATCCGCCTCGGAGGGACAGACATCAGCGGCGGAGTGACACTGACTAGAAAGATAACTCTAATTGACTATTTGCCGGAAGAGGGCCGATACGAGAGTAGCGCCGCTAAGTTAGATTGTTTCTTGGTAGAACGATGGCGGCTAAGGTCGCGTTGCAATGGTCAGGCTGAGCATCTGGCCGTAGAGGCTTCTAGAAAGCCGCTAGCATGCGCCACAGCTATTCTTAGTAAATAGCTACTATAGGCATAGCGTTAAATACGCTACAAAAACGTATGGTAATATTTTAGTACGCTACTGCAGGCGGGCTGCATGCCAAGTGTTACTAACAGCGCACGTCCTAGGGGACACGTTTTAACGATCCTACCATTTACCTGGAGAAACTGCTGGGATATATACTTACCACTTTAAATCAGTCTTCTAAAGCTGCAGTCTTAATCCTCGCTATCCTAACTTATTTTCTAGCCTACCAAGTTTCTCGCAAATAAGTACTCTCGTGAACGAACAGGGGGTGTTAGAGGAGAGTTAAAAGGTAGCGTCAAGGAAGCCAGCGACAGCACGGTCAACGACGCGCTTTTTCAAGTCGGAGGCCAGTGTATTAGGAGAGTAAGAGCTAGAGTATAGATGCGCATTACGCTTGTCTATATATAAGCATGTTGCGGATAGTCCGAGAGTCCGGAAGAGAAAGTGTCTCGTTACACCGTGCGTCCCGACACGTAGGGACGGACGTTATTGAAGCTCCATCGAATACAATATTGTTACACCCGGCGTTGCCTTTGGTATAGCGCTCCTTGATCTGAGCCCCTTACACTTTAGCCCAGCGATGTAAACTGATGTTTCTCATCAACAACCAATTGTCGAGATTTCAGTAATAGATGTAGCCACGGATCGCACTAAGAAACCTATTCCATAAGAAGCAATACCAGAAAATAACTAATATAACTACCATTCTTGCAGAACGGTTCGGGATTCTCCAAACCGGAGATAGTTTGCATATCCGCTCCACTCCATTCCAGTACTAGTTAGTAGGATCGGCCTCAAACTCCCCCAGCTTCCTAAGCTCTTGTAATTCCGAATTACAAGACTGACTCCGCTTACGTCCCTATCCAAGTCCTTGGATCAACTTTTATGATTCAATACTGCTGCCCGTTCCTAATCCTGTGAGGCGTAAGTCAGAGATTCGCAGCTTGATCGGATCTGTATGTCATGCCGATATGACGCCTATTTGTCACAGTCTGAGGCGCTGAATTGCCCAAATAGGAAGTATGAAGAGATATCGCGCTGGGTTTACAAAGCAAACTGACTCGGTTTGAGGGTTTGTTTTGCGTATGGAGCAAACAACTGCGAAATTGGAAACTCACATGCAAAACATCTTAGATCGAATGATGGTCAGCTCAAGCGTAACAATGACGCAAGAAGATATAAGATCCCTTGCAACATTGCGCGAAGAATGGACAAGTACTCGTAAATGCAGAGATATTTGTTCTCAAGCAGAACAAAACTTAAAAGAGAACGTAAGCGTTATCGATAACCACGCTACCGGAAATGAAGCCGTGCAATTTCTGGTATCAAACGGCCAAAAGACAATACATGGCAAGAACCGTGGATATGGGGACTATATCAAACAACTTGGTGGTCATCTCAGCGACCAGTCAATCCAGAAGGTATCCGGCGATTTTTTGCAGATGAGTATTCACAGGTCAGGATATGGAGATCTGGATAACGCGGTACCTGAAGCCAAAGATATGGATAAGAGAGAAACAAACTGGCGGCCGGAATACGGTGGGGGTAGGACGCTCAAGTCCCAGCTTGTTGCAAGCGACTCAAGCAATCAAGCTGAGCTAGGTAAAGCCAAGTTCTGATGCTTAATGTTGTTCCGTAATTTCAGAGCGAGTCGCAGGACCTGCACCTGTGATTATACCTATCTACACTAGCTGGTGGATTTTTGTGCTAGACATCAAGGTTGCTCATCTTCTACACAGCCTCCCTCAAGCCTATGCTGCAACCCTCGTACATACGCAATGAAGTCTTTCAACTCATGTGGCTTTGCTTCCTTTGGAGTCTGATTCTGAAGATCTCTTATTAGTTCTCGTACCTCAGCACTGCTTGATATTACATTCGCAGTGTAGTCGTCGATCGTCTTGGATTGCCGTTCAAGATAGCCATTGATGGTGTGAATCGCTCGTGTTGCCTTTTCCTTAGAATCGATATCTTTTAACCTTTCGAAAACATTATCGACAATTTTTATGGCGACTTCGAACTTCGTGTGCGATAGGCTGACTAGCAGTGAGTGGGTTGTGGCAAGAGCATGTCCTCTATAAGCAGCCGCCTCCTTCTTTGCCTCTTTCGTAATCTCGACTTGTTCCATCATCTTTGCTAAAGACTTGGTGACGATACATTTTTGCTTTTGAATCTCCTCTTCTAGTTGGGTCTGGTTCGCAACAAGCCGCCCAATATCAGCCTTGTAGTTGGCGATGATTTTGGTGTATCCTTCTTTCCGCTCCGTCTTCTGCAAATTTGCTACTAATCTCTTTAAACTAGTAATAGCCTGCGTCTGATTTGCATCCTCATGCTTGTAGAAGTCATTTGACATTCGAAAATTTTCTACCTCGGCAAGTGAAAGCTGGCATTCGCGCTGAAGTTGTAACTCCCTCTCGATAGCCTTGTTCAGTTGCTCTTCTATTTCTCGGCATTTTTGTAATTCCTCCCCCGCATCCTCAATCTTCTTTTGCAAGCTTTCTTTTTCTTTCTCAGCTATGCGAAGAGCGTGTGCGCTCTTTCCCGCCTTCGAACGAAGCATTACGTTTGTCTCAGCAAGTTTGCGATTCAACTCGTTCCGAGTCTCGATCATTTTAGAAGATGTGATGCAAACCTTCTTTAGGCGAGCTCGGTTATCCTCAAGGGTATGCTTAAGGTTGTTTTTCTCGATTTCTTTCAACAAAATGGTAGACTCGATTTCCATAATCTTCTGTATGAGGTCCTTTTTCTGTTCGTCACTTGTATTGCTAGCCTTGAAGTTGGCGAAGGCACTGTGGTGGAGATCCCTTGCGCTGGAACTGAGGTTTGCCGCTTCCTGGCTCCACTGGTGACGCGACCAGCTTCCGGCTGCAATTTCTCGTTCATAATACTCGGTCGTCTGCCTGCATGCAAGCATTGCTTGCTCTGATTGGTGTTCGACGTGAGCTAAATAACTTTGTAGAAAGTCGATATGATGGTGGAGGTTGTTGATTGTCTCAGCAGCCGTGTAAATCTCGAAAGCTTGGGCTTGGAATGTATGTTGGAACATGTTGTTTAGCGTATGCGCTTCAGAAAGTTGAGTCTGAATTTCTTTAATCTTGCCAAGAAGTCGATCATTTTGGTTCTGCAACTCGGTGTTCTCCCGGTTCACAGACGCTATAATCTCTGCAGGCTCCATGTTGAGAAGTTTGCTTATAACTACCAGATCTAGTTAAGTAACGTATCGTCCTCGTTCGTAAAAGTTGGGATCAGTAGGTTTGCACGAAAGATAAAATAGAAGATACGTCAATTTATCTGAGATGGTTTTTTTGCCGTGCGGCGCGATAATCAGAAGCTTGGAGCTAAGCCAGGAAGAATCAGGCAACCAATTTAGGCATCGAGCCAGCGGTGAAGGGCCTGCATAGTACCCTTGCCCATTCAACGCCACAGCGCCTGCTCCAATGGCCGCCGAGGGGGCGAAGCCTTGGAGAGCCGTTGACGTGTTCATATCGCCCAACCAAATAATGTGCACAGACGACAACAGCGACAATATCAACACTTGAAATAACTACTATACGCGCGCTCACTAGCGTCGCGACTTGGCGGCAGACCTTTTCTTAATACGTCTTACCAGTGCTAAGAATACAGGAGTACTTGAAATTACAGCCTTGCGTAGATCATCCAATACCCCGTTTTCATCTACGGCATTCAGTACACTGGTTCCTCCCAGTCTTCTCTGAACCCAGTACTGTGCAAGCCTCACAATTGCATTTTCTGGTTGGCTATGCCGAGACCTGAACTGCTGCAGTGTTCCCTGGGACGAATCTTGCCATGTGTTGTCTCTCAAGATGGGTGGAGGCTGAGCCTGAGAACTTACAAGGTCAGTGTTTTCTGGCGTTGCTAAGTCCTCAATTGGAGTTTCGAGTTGCCCAATTCCTTCGCAAAAATTTCTACTAAGAGATAAGATAGCTTTTGCAATAGCAGTATTAGCTTCGCATAGCTCCAAGATGTGTGTTACGAGCGACTCAGTGGACGCTTGACTGATAGTCTGTAGCGCGGCTCTAATGTTAGGGGTATTATTTGCCATACTAACAGATCATGATACGGAAGCTGTGAATTCTACATGTTTCCAATACGGGATGAATATATACTCTTAGATAAGGCAATAAGATGCATTATTATGCGATGTAATTAAAGTGCAGCAAGCCTAGAATAAAAAGGCCCTTGGCTCGATCAATTGAATTCTTGTGCAGTCCCACTAGGTCACTTTACGTCTTGGAACGGAATCACTAGCTTTTTCTTAGTGAAATCGCTGCTGGATAAGAGGTTATTTAGGTTTGTTCAGTCCAATAAAGGCCCTGCTGACTAGGCTCTGGCATCGATAGTCTCAAACTGATAATACTCTACGTAGAGTGGAGCCTCTTTTCGTTTTTCGACTATGGAATTGGGTAAGCAGGTTCATCATTAGCTTTTGCTTTAGCCGGGTCCGTAAATAGTCCTTTGTCAAACAAGATATAATAAAAAGATGAGATTATGTCGAGATTGTTATACGTGCGAAGCAAGGAGTGACTGAATAGAATACGCAGACCAGAGCTTTTCCGTTCCAGGACTACTTAGACCAGATCATATGCTCTAACTAGCTCCATCAACGGCACTGAGTCTCCTGGTAACCAAAGCCGATTCAAAGCCTCAAGATCTCGAGATAAGATCGGATGAATCGGCCCAAACTCGGACAATCTTTTGATAGTGCGGCGACGAAGGGCATCTATAGTCGCAGCTGTGACTTTTGTTTGCTCCGCAATCAATGGATAATTTGCAGAGGAACGAATAACGCGAAAAAGGAAAACTATTTTGAATTCTCTGTAAATTTTTAGTACAAATTAGAGCTAATTTATGGATTATTAAGCAACTTACGTGTGGAGTGCGCTGACAGGGTTGCTCAACATCATTGAGCTACCACTTTTGGTTTGACATGTCTCATACATGCTGTCAGAAGCCGCACCGACGCGATCAAAGCACTCAACAGTTAAGAGAGCGTATTTCTCCCAATTCAGGAAGACTTTGACAATATCTTGCTGACCGTTCGATAATCTGTCCTCTGGAGAGTGGACATAGGAATGCAGCGCATATTCTGCGATGCCCACGTACGGCCTCAACAACTTAGCCATACCCTCATAGTACTCTGTTCGTAGCGAAGCTATGAGAGGATCAGTTGATAGAGGCTCTGTATCACTCCAGGTCAATCGTGAGATTAAATTTGATCTCCATTCTTCCAACATCTTGATTTGCTGGTTGGCGACGCTCCCAAGAGCACAAAGGGCCTCTTCATCCATTTCCCTCATTTGTGGGAGATATGAACGCGCAAAATCGCTCAAGGCATCAAGCAGAACTCGGAGATTTACTTTCGTCCAGTAAACTCTTTCAGAAAACTGTCCCACATTTCCTTCTGGAAGTAATGTGCTCCAGTGTTTCGGAACAGGACCGAACGAGGCGCAATTGAAGCAGTTACTTATACCGCTAGAGGGACAGTTAAGAGAGTTCACAGACTTATATCAGCAACTTACCGTGCTAGATCCTGATAAATCCAGAAACCCCTCTTCGCCTCCTCAGAAATTGAAGTAGTGCTACATGCTATTAGCCTAAACTTGTAAGTAATGGTCGCCGGTCTTACTTCTTGAAAACGACTTTGTATATGTCGCGAGCGTTGCAAAGGTGCGCCAAGCTGTCTTGAAGCATTCCGTTTTGGTTCGTGTATAATGCAGCCAGAGTTAAGGCCTGGGCAGCGTGAATATTACACTCCCCGATTCTGTACCTGAGGATGACATTCGCATGAGAATAATACACTTCGCCTGGTAAGGTACTTGGGCTTCCTGTATTTTTGGTAATCGATTGACAGCTCCCTAATGCGAAAATGAGGAGTACGTGGGCATTCCCTAGGGACGGCATAATAACTCCTTTCCGCACTACTGGATCGCCGAGGAATTCCTTACACATCTCCTGAGGGTCGTCAAAAAATGGGTGGAAAGGATGCACATTCTTAAAATAAGACTGAGAAAGCAGGTGTAGCTCTTTGGGCAAGAACGCTTTTGTTCCGTGCTCTCGTTCAGGGTCAAGTGGTATGAACTGTAAGTTGCAATGACCTCTGTTGAGCCCTCCCAAGTCGCTGTGTATACCACGAAGCTGTTTGTACGCAGCATCGAGGGTACTATGCAAGCTGTTTAGAGACATCTGCTGTCTATGCAAGGTTAATAAGGAATGGTAATGCTAGTGATAGCGACATACTTGGATGGTTTAACGTCCTCATACACGCACTCTATGCGGTTATAACGACATCCCTCGCATGGACGTAATCCATCGCATCTCATCTTGCGACTACGGCATTTCTTGCAAGCTTCTGAAACTCGAGGCCTAGAAGTTCTGAATGATTCCTCGTTGGTGGAACTTACGTTTTGATCTTGTACATCTAGAGTAGGAACAAAAGACATCTCGCTGAAAGACTAGAGCTATAACAGAGCCGAATCGTGAAGGTTTTGAGAGGCAATACTCTGTGAGAACTTCTTGAAGCTTTTAAATGAATTTAAAAGGTAGAGAGTGGTAGTAATAAGGGGCAGCAACTAATGGTGGCCAGGATTGTTAGAAATCTGGAGCCAGTGCAATTTATGGAAATTGGAAGCTAATATTGTTATGTATGCAAGGTCAGATGTCTAGAACTATCAAAAAGAGTTCAGCACCAATCGGTTGAATGGAAAGTAACTGATAACTCACATTAGCAAAGATACGCCACCTTCCTCCATGTCGTCCTCGTGTGCCTCTCGGCTCAACCATCTGTCACGCTAATACCTCTCAAGGGGTGCTTAAGACCAAACGTAGCGATGTATTTCTTCGATGATTGCAATCACGACGTAGTGCTATTCAAATCTAGGTATTATATGCTTGTAGCGATTCACCTTTCTAACATAGTTACAGGGTATCCACATAAAATCGCAGAAGCAAAACTCTCTTAAAGATGCGCTATGATGCTAAGGAAAATGCGATGTTAAAATAGATTCAAATACCAAGGCAATTGAAGACTTGGGCTTGAAGCATTGGAGAGCATTCCTCCAACGGAACTTCTTCGCCTACTCCAATTTGCAAATCATCCGGTAGGATGCCAGAATAAACAGGATCCAAAACATCCATGCGCTTGTCCTCAAACTCCAACAACTGCTCATAAGTGTACTCACCAACAATATCTCGTAGTTGGCTCGCGCAGCGCGTGTGTAAAAGAAGCGCGCCAAGATTTACTCGCTGTAAGAGCATTACAGTATCTGATTGGGTTGCGACAAGTACCTTGTGGCCGCGAACACCATTGGAAGTCGAGTAGAAAGAACCTATAGCTACAATTCCAGTAACACCCTTAGGAAGAACGTCTGTCGCCTGAAAAAAAGGTGGTATGAGTAGTTGACCAGGAGCAGCATACGTAGTAGCGGCTTCAACCAGGACTGTTTGTGGCACGGCTGGTGATGAAGGGTGTGAATATGCTGGTCTGGCTGAATCTTGACGGCATCCCAGAGATTTCCATGATGCAGGCTGGCTCTCAATTGAAAGTAGGTCATCAGAAACCGGAACATGCGCGCCGTTGGCAGTGGTAGCCTCAGTTGACGGATAGAGCGATGTCGCTCTCAGGTCTGGAATGCTAGGCCAATGTCTAGACCTCGACCGTCTCGGTGTCGGAATGCATGCGAAGCATGATCGCAGCAATTTCAAAAAGTTCTTGGGACTAAGCTGTATGGAATTAGTCTTCGCATTTGAAGATGGATGTCGTAGAGTCCTTACTACGGCTGTATCAGGAATTCTCCTGCAACACTGGCTGTCAAACTCTTCCATCCTTTCTAAGGTATAGTTGTATATTTCCGTAGAACTGAAGTCTTTTCCATAAAATTCTCCAAAGGTCAAAACAACTTCCTCATCTATCCGCTGTATTGAAGACGTGGACCCAAAGGGTTGGGAGATAGTTACTCGAACATAATGAGTACTGCGATGGCAATAAACATCATGAAAGGCCAAAAGATCTGGCTTTATGGCAGCGCACTGTTTGGGTCCGATGTAAATATGTTTGATAGCGTCGCCGTGCTTCGTTGCGTGGTATTGATATGGCTCGTGGCAGGGGAAGCGCTTTAGGCAACGCCCGCATTGGTATTTCCCGTCCGCTATTACAAGTCAATATCCATGTATACTCAAATTGCAAGCATGGTTCGAAAATGAAATCTCTTACAATCGGGGTGAATTATAAGGTCTTCTTGCGATGGTTGGTCCTCTAGAGAATCAGGCTAAAGGGTCAGTTCCTTTCTTATCCCTTGGAATTTGGATCCAAAAGATAGTCACAAGCCACATACCAGAGATACATCTGCAGGAGATGGAACCATTGTGTCAGCAGACCTAGCTCGAAAGAAGGCAACCAGTGAAGGACGAAAGGGCGGTGAGGCAATCAACTGAAGGGCATTTTAGCCTCGCAGGAAGGGTGCATGATATATGATTTTCTCAGCTTCTCAAACGACTCTACATTGTCCTTTTGAAAACGCTCTAGACAACGAGAGGCCATTGCTTCCTGAGAGGTGGCTCTGGTCAGGGTTCTTGCCGACGAAAGGCACGGACGGGAGCGTGGGTATGAGGCAAACCACACGGCACGGCCCCGATAGCCTGGCTGGGCGTTGAATACTGTGAGTTTGCATGATCTAATCACATAGCAAAGTATTTCATCGATTGACGGCTTGCCCGGATGAGCATGACAGACTTGGCGATATTAGGCCCTTTCACAGCTTGCGAGGCCTGCAGCGGGAAAGCCTCTTTACTGAACGCTACGTGTATCAGAGTCATGCCAGGCGGTACCGTGGGTTTGGTAAGGTGGCGCTCTTGGCGAAGCATATTCTTAAAGCGGCTTAGGTTCTGGTCCCAGAACTGGGATTGAAAACTTATCTCTTTAGAGATCCTCTCCACAGTCGCACCTGCAAACTCGGACATCTGCTCTGTAAGAGAAATGGTAGATTCTCAATCTCAGACCGATTTAACAAAAGCCCTCGACTCTTGTACACCATGTGATGTCTTGAGTAACAAAGTGAGTAAACCTTGAAAAACATATGATGGTAGATAATAAGAGAAATCAAGGTTTTGCTTTCAAGTATGCAGCAATTTTTGAGAAAAGGAACCCCAGATCAGTGTTTCAAACTGCTTCCTGAGGAGTTCAAGTCTGATGAACGATTTAAGCGGATAAATTCTCTCCGAACCCCGGTCCCAGCCACACCGCAGCCACACCAACCACAGGACCTCCCAACCTTGGCGGAAGAATACTTCCGACCTTCCATCCCAGATCGAGGGAACAGGTTGAAAAGATTGGTAAAAGTTGCTCAACATATCACGGAGTTTCAAATCCAGGATAATGTTGATCTAGGCAAAGCCTACAATGAAGAATCTATTCAGGAAACCCCAATCGCACAGACAGGGGCAACTGTTGATCCAGGCAGTGTTTGCGATGCAGACTCAACTCTGGAACCTTCGATCGCACGGGCAGCAGCAATTTTCAACAAAATAACTTCGAAGCAAGATACCAAAGGAACGATAGTGAGCAGATTCAACACTACGCCTCTATGCCCTGGAGCGCTACTACGCCCTACAAGACGAATATATCTAAGAAGTCAAAGGAGGTCGAAGCAAAGCACCACAAGGAACTACTAGAAGACAAATTCCTCCTATC